TTGGTTCTTGTTTCTTAATCCATTCTGCCAGTCTGTTTCTTTTGATTGGTGACTTGAGACCATTTACAATGATGGTTATAACTGATATGTATTGCTTTCTCTTTGTCATATTATTTTCCTGCTGTTAGTTCCCTACTTTTCCCCTCTGTTTAATTGCTTGCCCCACGTGGTGGTTTCTTTCTGGTGTTGTTTTCAGAATTTTGGTCATTTTTATCTGTCTAGAATATCTTTCAGTACCCTTTGTAGTGCTGGTTTGGTGGTCATAAATTTCTTCAGTTATTCTTTGTTGTTGAAGTATCTTGTTTCTCCATTAACTTTGAAAGATAGTTTTGCAGGCTACACCAATCTGGGTTGGAAGTTATTTTCTCTTAGGAATTGAAATACTTCACTCCAAAGTCTTCTTGACTTGAGAGTTTGTGTTGAGAAACCTACCATGACTCTGATTGACTTTCTTTTATAGATGATCTGTTTCTTTTCTCTAACAGTGTTTCGTATTCTGTTCTTGTGCTGCATTTTTGACATCTTGATTATTATACTGATCAATATGTTAGATTCTTTTCCCATGCTTAGGAAACTTTTTGCTATTAGCTCTGCAATTAATGTTTTTTGAGACAGGGTCTCACTATGTAGTCCAGATTGGCCTTGAGGTCACTTACGTAGTCTAGGCTAGCTTTGAACTCACAGTGATTCTCCTGTCTCAACCTTTTGAGGGCTGGGATTACAGGTATGCACAACCATACCTGGAACAAGTAATTTTCTTATGTTATTTGCATTGACTCTTGTTTTCTCACTGACACCAATTATCTTTATATTATTTTTCCTCGGGTTGTCTTGCAGCTGGTGAAGTGTTATTTCCTGATCTTTTGTTATTTTCAAGAGATCTTTCCTTTCATAATGGCTAACCAAGATCCTGTCTTTAAGGTCTGAAAGTCTGTCTTCAGTTTCATTCAAGTGGTCTTTACCAGCTTTCAATGGAATTTTTAATTTCCTGGATATTTGTTTTAATCTGTTTCATGTATTCTGTTTCTTTCCTATATTGATCATTCAGTTTCCATCCTCTTCCTATCATCATCTTTTAAAAATCCATCTGTATTCTATATTTGCTGAGCAATATTTTTATAAATGTTGACATTTCTTTTCTTTTTTAACCTGAGACATTGTTTCTGGTTTGATTTTCTTGATAACCTTGTGGATTTGTTTCTTTACTTCAGTTGCTATTGCTTCCAAAATGTCAGGTGTGTGGCTTCCATTTTCCTGTATCTCATTGTCTCCTGAACTCATTCTAGATGGGATGGAGAGGATTTTGCTTCTGTGACTTTCATTTTCTATTTCTTTTTTTTTTTTTTTTTTTTTT